AAAATTCATTACCAAAAAACGAAAAGCAATTATGAATGTGTTATGCAATTGACAATTACCGCTATAATATACACGTCCTAATAATTCTTACTTCATCAAAATGAGTGAAATGCAAAAACAAGCTTCATTGCAACACTAATTGTTGCCACTACACATTTGTTTCCGGCAGCCAGTTGAACACTGAGATTGCCATTCGTTTCGTTTGCAACTGGCATTCGTGTTGAAATTGCCACTTGAAAATACATGCGTTTTAAAAATTAACTAATTTTCTCAAATTGTGTGAAATTGTCATCAACTTTTAATAAATTATAATTAAAAAAACACGTCACGACAAGCAATAAAACCACAAACTTATTTTTTAAACAACAACAAATGATTGCATTTGAATGAATGACGCGAATGTGTGTGTCACGCCATTGAAATTTCATGCCCTCATCGGTTTTGAAGCTGGGCTGCGTTTTAGCTCGAACAAAAATATGCTCGACGACTGACTGACGTTGTCATAAAAACAGTCAAAATATAAATTGGCATATAGGCGCATAATCAGCGGCAAATATGGTGGCAAAGCCTTTTAATTGTTGAAAGGTATACAGCTTTCTACTCGTATATAAGTGTAGCTACAGTGATTTTGTTAATTGTGCGTAAAATATTTACTTATATTATGCGGAATAGTGACATCAGAGGTAGATGGATAGCGATTATTCCCATAAAAAGTCCAGTATTTAAGCCCTTAGTGGAAATAGAAGAGCCTTATTTTTAGCGATTGAAAGCAGTCTAAGTTTAGACCAATTACAGTCCTCGGAGTCCTTAGTTCTTCAGACTTACGCAATTCCAAATAGTGGTCTCAATGTTTAACCATGAGATGCCTGTCATTTACAGCGAGAAAAAAGATAGCAGCTCCACCATTGGACTAGGAAATCTGAGTTAATTTCTGATTACTAAATCCATAAACAAAGTAAAAAAGGCTGCGGTGAACATGTTAGGATAAGGACTACGAAAAATCCTAACACCGAGCAAGATGTAAACGCTCTTTGGCGGAAGGATAAACAATCTTTCAGTGACGTGTGTGATTAGTTCTTAAGGCCACTCTACAATTGCCGTTATAGAGACGTTAAAAGTTTCTGTTTGGTCTTAGGATTTAATTAAATATATCAGTTTAGATTGTCCGTCGCAATACAACAAGTTCGCTTGGTTCGAAATACTAAAGAAGCCATTCTCCAGAAAGGTTTGGAGACTCTTCAGACATACGGACGACAAGTTCAAATATACGCAGTCGCTGAGTTTTATTTCGCTGAACAGCCTTGTTGTTGATTTAAGGTCCGTTAAAATCATGATTCTAAGTAGATCTCTCTTTGGAACATTCCTTCAACACATCGGCGCCATGACTCTGCATGATATGGTGGAGCAATTATAAAAATAACGTTAAGTAATGTTAGTTTGATTTGTCGTAAGAAAAGGATGTTTTGACTAGATCTAATATTTTCGATTTTAATGCTTTTTCTAACAGCTCGGTTACCAAACTCAATTATATGGATTTAAAGCATACGCATCAATTGCGTATAAGAGTAAGACCGCCTCAGTTCCATGGTAGTAGATTAGATAGAATGCTTGATTGAAGCTTCTATGTTATATTTATATTTATAAGGATGATTTCATACTACATGGCGGATTTTATGAAATCGTAACCTCAATTAACTCAACCCAGTAGTTTTTTCTCAGAAGCTCAAATCGTTAAATTTTTCAACAGTTTAGTTTATTATAGTTTCTCTGAATTACTGTTAATATGATTAATACTCACATATGCATTCGAAAATCATATATTAAGGCATTTGCATGCATCATCGCCATTATTATGCGGTCACCGGTGTGCACCCGAATAGCCCAACCATATGTTTCAACCGACGTAAACCGGTAACACTACCAAATATGTAGCTCATATAAATAGAGAAATATCAGTTTGCGTGTGCCCTAGCATTCATACGAGTTCATGTGTGTGTGAACCCATTTTGATCCTCTCCATTCACACACAGAATCATTTCGCGATGAAAATTAAAATTGTTGACAATGACTGTTTTTGCACTGCCTATTTGTGCACTCTTCACGACACTGTTGTTATTACTATTACTGCTACCATTACAGTTTTTGTTGCCGCTTTTCGTTGCACTCACATTTGCCGGCCGTCGGTCGCCGACACTGCTGCCGTTGACCACATTTCATTTGCACAGCAGCAGGCAACACATAGCTGCATGCAATATGCAACGTGCAGCACTTATAATTGTGTCTGTTTGTTGTTGGCAGTTTAGCAATTCGTGACGGGCGCAAAATTACACGCATTTTCACAGTAGATTAAAATGTATACCATTTTCACGCATGCGAAAATTACCGCGAAATGTCGCATATGGAATATGCAAAACTCAAACGTATAGCGGGATGTGTGTGTGCAATAGGAAATTAAAAGCTGAATATGTCTATATGTTTCTATACACATTCGTTCAAATTAGAACTTGTTCATATTCGATATTCTCGAAAAATGTGTACTCGATAGCAGGGTTGTATAGCTTTGTTCTTCTAACGGTACTTGCATCATCAAGAAATATACAAGTTACTAAGTTTACATGCAATAAAAAGTTATAATGCTTAAACAATTTTTAGAAAATAACTATAACCGCTATTAACCCATTTAATTATGAGTGTGTCATGGGGTTTCTGAGATACATTTACGGTTTCTTGTTGCCACAATCATGGAACCGAATCAACGTCAATCAATCATTGCGCGTTGGCCAACTTACTTGATGCTTAACAAGCACTGACGTCTCTTAGAAGTGGAATTTTAAGGTGTCTATGATTTTCATGAATCAAACTTTTTTTGGCTTCAAGTACAGTTTAAGATCCGAAAAATTATTCAATTCAAATCCCTGATATTGGGCGACGGCGATACTAAGAGGCTTTGGGAGGCACGTATCCAATTAAAATGTTAACTGTAGCTCTATAATAATATTAAGCCTCGTATGATTGTTTTGTTATTTTTGTAAATTCCTATTTAGAAGCTATTAATGTAAAAAAAAAACGTCTTAAAACGTACGTACTTTATTAGCATATCTTATGCAGATTAAGATCCCGTTTTTATACCCTGAATAGAGTATATCAAGTTTGCCACGAAGTTTGTAACACCCGGAAGGAAACGTTGAAGACCTTATAAAGTATACATATAAATGATAGACATGATTGCTGAACTGAGTCGATTTAACTATGCCCGTCTATCTGTCCATCCATTTTCCCATATATATACGAACCAGTCTTTCAGTTTTTGAGATATCGATCTGAAATTGTGCACACGTCCTTTTTTCCCTAAGAAGCTGCTCATTTGTTAGCCGATATCAGACCTGCAAGTATTTAGCATATAGCTGTGATACAAGCTGATCGATCATAATTCAATATTTATATGAAAAACTTTTTTATTTGACAAGAAATCTTGACGAACATTGGCATGGATTATTGTCCAACAACGGTACAGTCTCCGAAGAAATTGTTCATATATTTGTGAAGGGTACTAAAGGTTCGGTGCAACCGAGGCTAACGTTTTTTCTCATTTTATTTCGTTTCAGAATGCACTAGTATCACCGTCAACAGTCGAGGCTTTCCCAAAAAAGTTGATTCCGAAGATTGACAGAATACCAATATCAAATTTTTTTATACGATTGAAAGAAAGAAATATGTATTATTTTAAATGGGATCTAGACTGGCTTAACCCTCTAATTCTTCAATATAAAGCTGTTAGCAAGAGGTTGATATTTTTTGAAAAGCTAACCTCAATAATGAAACAAAATTACATATTTGGTTTAGGTATTACTTAATTTCATTCAAAGTAATTAGGGTCTTATCACTATCCCACTAAGGGTGAATTTCATTCAGAACATTACAGTTTCCATCCAGGAAGTTTAATCTTCGAATACACTTTCTAGCAAGTTTGCTACCCATTCCTGAAGATCCATTGAAGATGGAGTTGACAGTAGTAACCTTATTATAAAGTGATGGACTGTCTTAGTTTGAAATAAGATCATCTCCGGCATATGATCGGACAGATTTGGATTGCTCAAAACATAAGAAATGGTATCTCAATTAATTACCATGTAGCTACTAAATCGATCGCTACAATCTTTTAAAAGAACGTCCAACTGCTGACAGAATTGATGTCGTAGAAAACGAGAAGACGTGAATTGGTCAACAATAAGATGTGCGACAACCTTGCATAAGATATGCTATGCGGATGGATACCTACCGTTTAGCTCCAAAATAACGAAAAACGTATTACAGAAAGACCTTTCGTCGACTAATATTAATCAAGAAGAAAGAAGAAGTTTAGTTTTTTGTAGATCTAACATATTGTTTGCTATGCCTTTTGAAATCACAGAAGCGGGTAGGGTTTTACCACCATAACAGTTACACATTATATAATATTTATTTTGAAGTTACGAACACCAGAAGATATATCTTACAGATGATATATCTACAAAAACTTTGTTAAAAATTGAGTTTTTTCCGAAACAAGTTTTTGAGGTTAATTACAAAAATTGAACTTAGTCGACTTCCTCACACATTTCCGATACTTCCAACGGTAATGTAATAATTCTCCAGCAAAAGCGGTTAGTCCTAAAGTCAAGCTGCCAAAGTATTGTATGCGTATCCAGAAGAAATCATCTAAAACTAAGGGTCTCCCAGAATCCAATGGCTTACTTAAATCCTCGAATACAACCAACTTCAATCTAGCCAAAACAAAGAAATTCAACGATATCCACTCTTTCATAATACCCGAAGAATCTAGACGTAATATGAAGTCATCTAGTAAATCACGATATGGCAGATCCGGGCGCGTCGGCAAAGAAATTATGGAATTTTTAAAGAAACAAAGATCAGTATTAAAATAATATATCGGACGATGGAAGAGACTTTGTTGAAACTCGAAAACTTCCCAACGAGCATTCGATACGGGATACACATACTTCGTGTTCATCGAAGAACGATACTTCAACCACATGTTGTAGTCTTCAACGTTTTCAAATAGGTTAAGGTGCTCCATGGCGCTGCTGTTCCTATCTACCATATGTTTTTCCTTGGCAGGAAATAATACCTTGAGACCAGCAGCTTCTATGTCATTGTAGGTGCGATACATTGGTTGCAGAGGCGGTTGCGTTAGATAAGATTGCAGATAAGCCTGATATGTTGTATTAATGATGATGCTCATATAGCACAGTAAGAATATGATAAGTTTCACTTTTAGATTTGGTCGGACTGCCGGCACAAATGATTGTCCCAAAATACCGCGTATACTTTTATCATTCAAAAAGAGATTAATAAAATTGATTTTCATGCGCTGATTAAGGTGTGTAAGTAAAGCGGCGAAAATTACAGTAAAAACGAAGATATAAAAGAGTGTTGGTAAACGCACAATGCCAACAAATAGCTCATTAATTGGCACCGTTTCGGGCAACGGCACCATATAACAATAATCCAAGTTTTGCACTGGATATGACATCACCTCTAGGTCTTCTAAAGACTGAAGGAATGTCAAGCCCGCAGCTACATCGACAGTGTTGTTACGCGCCAACTCCAATAATTCACCATAGTACGTGGTTTTACCCACTACAAAAGGATGTTCAATGGCCAGCGTTGCATTCCGTTTGGCTGCAAATATTCTCAGCAATCTACCGATGTATCCCTCCATCTCCACTTTGCCATCCGCTTTGAAGTAAAGCATTGTGCGTGGCTCCAGCTGATCGGGGTAAGTCAGCATCTTCGTGCCATACATATCGCGAAACTGATGCTCAAAGATTGCACTCTCAGCCGCTTCTAGGGTCTTCTCTTTATAGCGTGGCGCATCAAGCGGAAACTTATTGCAGGTGTAAAACTTGTGGCTCTCAGCAAAATCAGTTTTTATTATTAAGACATTGTAAATATTTTTAGTCATGGCGCTTATGCATATTTTTTGTATTATATCCAAATTTGAAGCATGTGGAACATAAGCTATAATACGCGTTTGCTTTAAGTCATGAAACACTCTCAGCTCCTCAAATGCGGCGGTTACATTTTCATGCTCCAGGCATAGCAGAATGACGAATTCTTTTGAAAATGTTGATTTGTATTTATATTTCAGCCGTTTATTGATGAGCACCACAGGTAGTGTTAGCTCTGGTAGAAGTTGTTCAAAATTACAATCTTGTGCTCGTGTCTTGCAAATTGCAACGGTATTATAATCTTGTTCTTCCCGCACGATTTCGAGCAATTTTAACAAGGCTTTGGTAGAGTTTTTATTAACATCTATGCTATCGAAGAGCAAATCCGCTATGACAAAAGGCTTTCTGATGGTCAATACTGTTATAATACACAATAAACACTTCGTAAGCTGTCCACTTAGCATGCTGGACGTTGCAACCGCACTATTTAACTGTTTAACTAAACTGTTTCGACTCCATTAAACCAATTTAAGTGGACATTTGACACATGCTTTGGCATATTGCGTGCAAATATTGCATTTAAATTAGTTAAAGAAATATTTTGTGTTGTTGTTTTCGTTGTTTGGCAAGTCCCTTTTCATGTTTTCTGTGCAAAAATAACGTTCAAGTATTCAGAAATAATGATTACTGTTAAAAAATTTTTATATATAGACTTTTACGAGTATAAATGCGCCTGAATATTTGTGTATTTCAGTAAGTAAAAAATAAAAACTTTAACTACGGTTGCATTAAAGTTATAATACCCTTCACACATATCAAAGAGACCTTAAAATAACTTGATTTTTATCAGTCGGTTTGTTCTCTTTGGTAATTGTGATTTCCTTTTTAGGAATGACCTCCTAACCTAACCTAATCTAACTATTGTTTTGAACAGTAAGCCTACTTCCCATGAAACACAATATTAAACTCTATCTGATGCTTTCACTTTCCAGTATACAAATCAAGATCCAATAAATGTGTCCGGATAAAACTTTGCACGAACAGTGCCTTTGAGGTGTGCCACCTTATGATCCAAAATTGTTCAAGTCAACCCGTGAGATGTATTAGGGAAATTCGAAAATATTTTTCCCCAGCTTTGATCTTCACAAGCTGCGAGGGTATAAAATGTTCGGTTGCACCTAAAATTAGCCATTCTTTACTTGTTCCAGTTATATTCTTTTTAATCCATCGGACGCACTTAAAACAACTCATTATAAGTGGTGTGGGAAGAATATGAACCGATTTAATTAGCTTTCTGTATTATTTCTCTTCATATATTTGTATAAAATAATTATTTCATGATATATCTCATTTCGAGGGTCGTAAGTTTAAGAATTTTTGAAAAATATGATAAAATTTCGCATGTTAATGAAGAATATTTTGATGATTGACGGACAGACGAAGCAACCATTCGTGAGTTACTAAATTCAATACAGGTCATAGGAACACTGAAAATAATGAACTCAGTGGTCGCCTAACGAAGGGCTTACGAACAAAACACTAATAAAGTGACCACAAAATGGAGTTGGGAAACAAATGACTCTCTGAAGATATCAAAAGATATCAAAGAAACGTATTAGATTTATCGTTCATGAATATTTAGGTATCCGAAAAAGGTTTAGGTAACCGAAAAGTTGTGAAAATTACTTCGGAAGAGAAGTTATTTGGCTACGTTGAATGAGTGATTAACGAGGCTTAGGCTTTTTTTGAAGCATATATAACTGTTAATATAGTACAAACATTTTCACAAAAAGTAGTCAGAATACTATAATTGGTGTATCATCAATGGCAACTATATTCAATTAAAAAATCGTATTCTATTAAATTTTTTTTCTTCTGATAAAAAAAATTGCCATCCGAGATAATTTTTTTTATTCTAACATGTTCAACCTTATTCGTCAGCGATTGGTTTCGATGTAACCAGTTTGCTTTAAAATTATGCTCATTCATCTTTGAAAAGCAAAGAAACGATTATTTCCAGAAATGACGACATATTTAAAGTTATCGGGTAATAGTAATTCATACTAAAGTCAAATAATTGGCGATTTTCACTCAGCTTTAGACCGCTTTCGTAGCAGGCTCATTGAATGATGGTGCTACGTTAGTTCAATCTACATTTTAGCGATATCATTGAATAAAAGCAAAGACTCACATAGTTCCTGTCGATCTCTAATTAACCGCTTTGAAAATCATTTACTTAGAGTACTTTTCATTAAAGATCTTATTTTTTTTTATAAATTTGCTCCAGTTGAATTTATGTATTTGGTAACTCGGGGAATGGTTTTCAATATAACAAAAGGAATGCATAAAAGCACTATTTAAAAGAAAAAATATAACACAACAGGAAACACCAGTAGATCCTTTGGCTATTGTAATGCCAGCCTTTGACTAGTTGCTGATTAAAAGTAAAGAAATAATGCAATAAATAAGCGTATCAGCGTTTATTGTGCACTTGCAAGATGAAAGTGTCACTTTGTTGCCTTATTATGGATGCAACTCGGCCAGTGGCTGAAGGCTGTGGCAAATTCTATGCAATCAACATGCTGCAATTTAGTGAAAACTGAAAACTGAACGAACTGAAGTAAAAAAGAAGATGTAGTTGCTGTTTCCTTTTTTTCGAACGCTCAACTTTTCGCACTTCCCTATTTGCTGGGCTTTCAGTAGTTTTAATTCATTTGCCGCTTTTCATTGCGTTTATTAATGGCGCTGTCGCCAATGGCAGGCCGTGTCCGTCCTGTGCGCAACGCGTCGCAACAATTGCGTGAATTGCTGCAACAATTTTGCGCTGTTAGCGATAAATTGCTGTATTTTACATTGTGCTTTTATTTCATTTGTTTAGCGTATTTATTCTTTTGCCTCCTTTACATTTTTACGCGCTTACGCTTTTCGCACCAACTTTGCTTGGCCAAGCTGTAACTTTCGAAGGAAACAGTGCGCTTTGTAAGGGAAGTGAGAGGGTAAATAGTGAGCGGCGCGCGGAAGGTCGGTAGTGTCCTTTTGAACGCGGTGTCGTAGTTTACAGCTTTGCTGGCCTTTCAATGGCGCCGCTTGAAAAGTAATTGATTTATGCGCAGAAAATGCTCAGTTAATTGGACAGCACTGTGGATATTGGAGAAGCCAGAGAAGTGGTTATATTTTTTTTTTTTGAGAATTTTGCTTGAAAAAACGCGAAATGCCCTGTAGTATATTTAAACTAAGACTTTGTCAATGCGAAGTCATTGAAGTATATAGAAAATAATGAGTAAATAATTTAAATAAAAGCAACGTGTTGGTCAAAGTAATTTATTGGTAGGAGAAGTGTTTTTTTGTTTTTGTAGCTCCCACTTGCTGCAGGAAAAACTCCATGAAATGTAATACATTTTTTTAACGCTTTACATTAAAACTAATTATCGCAATTGCGCTTCATAGTTTATTGAATTTCACTTGTAAGGCCTTTAAGACTAAGCATAAACGAATATAAAGCAGCGGTCCATACTATAGCGCTTCTAAAAAAATGCAATCATGGATTAAGTAAAGAAATAAAAAAATGGTTTTCTTACCATTTTATAACCACTTTCTATCAAGTTACAAAAATATTGAAAAACTTAACTACTTAGCTGTTCACCCCCCATCAATATATAATAAAAACATTTTATCGATGAATTTGGAAAATCAAACAACATAATTTAAAAACAAGTTAGGAGGGGCTAAGTTCGGGTGTAACTGTAAATTACACCCATCTACAATATCAACCGTCTTATGGTACCAAGAATCATGTAGCCAAGTTTCCTCAAGATATCTCAATATAGACTCAAATTACAGTTTGCACAGACGGACAGATAGTCACTCTGATTTCAACTCGTCTCTTTATCCTGATCAATTATGTATATGTAACCCGATATCTAACTCGACTAGTTAGAGGTGACACAAACCACCGTTAGATGAACAAAACCATTATACTTGTACTCTGTACTAACATGTTGCAAGAGTTTAATAAACTTTACCACTATGCCACTCAAGCACAACATAATTATTTTTGGGTGTTAAAATAATATTTTACATAAGAACTATTACTTTATATATTTTTTGAATTTTAATAGTTCAAATACCTGTTTGGCGCTCTTTCTTTTCCCTTCCCGGCCATCACAAATTAGTTTTCAATTTCTCATTTGGCTAAGTCCATTGTCATTGATTAACAATCTAAAAAATAAACAAGTAAAAATTTAAATATAAAGATTTCTAAATCACATATCTATATATTGTAAAGTGCGTATTAGATTTATATAACAGGAAAATAATTCCCTCACTTAAAAATTTTTCACTCTAAAATTTTTTGCACAAATGTGGAAAATAAAGGCTGCAACGAAATTCTAGTTTTCTAACCAAAGTTTTCGAATATTATTTCTTCTTTAATGTATACTTCTGAATATTAGACTATTTACACTAAAGAGAAGTTTGTTGAGGTGGTTTCTTCTTTATATTATATCAATATATAAATGTTGAAGTTTTGAAACAAGGCGCTTGTTGTAAATTTAAATATAAATATGACTTAAAAATTATAATAAATTGCAACCAATGCATGCATTGAATAACTAAAAATAACTTAATATATCGATTTTTACATATTAGAATGAAACCAAAAAAAAAAAAGGAAATTGTATCGAAAACTATTAAACACAGAGCTCACCTGTTCTTGCAATGCCAGTGTGTGTGCATGTTTACATGAAATTTCACGCAAATTTTTCTTTACTCGTTTAAAGCAATTAACATAACACACTCACAGGCATACATACATATAATTCTTATAGACACAAGATGAGTCTTAGAAACACCATTATTACCAAGTAATTTTTAATCAATTATCACATGCACCATGTTCTACACACTCTCATTATTATATTATATAATAGATATGTGTATAAGCGTTAATTAAATCTGTTAATAACATTAGTGTGTGTATGCCTAATAAAGTTTTCGTACGAAAACATTTATGTCACTTCATATTTCTCTTTCTATTTTCCGTCCAAACAATGCAATTAAGCGCGTAATATTCAGTAGTAAAGAAATGAGTGTAGAATCATGGCTTTAATATTGTATTCTACTCTACCCACTAGTTAAAGCTTCATTTGATTGTCGCTGTCAAAATACGAATTCTTCTGCATAATATAGAAAAAAACTTTGGAATGTCAGTCAACTATTATGATAACTTTCCGCTTTGCTGCTATTTTGACTGTCTAGTAGAAAAGTTAGTATGAAGATAAATATTATATATAAGAAAGAGCATCCATAGAGTTAAAGTAGTAACCCAAGTGATCGTGAGGTTACTTTAATAGTTTTGTGGCAGCTTTTTGAAGTGTTTTTGTATTTGATGATAAATGATCATAATGATGTATATACGAAGTGTGAGCTGAAATATTTATGATTATGGAAGGAAAAATAATGGTGA